GTCGTGCAGTATTTTCACTGCTCGAACCTCCAGCGACCGAGCCGAGCAAATACGACCGACTTAACCGTTTCGAGCTGTAGAAAAATTAGTTCTACATGTCGCATCTATGTGTTGTCTGGTCAGTGATAGTAGTAAGTCGTATTTGTATATTCAAAATTTGTATGTTGTTAAACTTCTAAAAAGGTTTTCACCAAATTTAATTAAAAAATTTGTCATTTCTAGCCTTAGTGCATATAATGTGGCATTCATATTCTTTAATACCTTAAAGACAAGAAAAATTTGGGTGAAAACGCTTTATTGTAACACCTACATAGTAAGCTTTGAATGTATTACAGAATTTCCATAGTACCAATGGCGACTTGCGGATCACGTGGAGCAGATGCTTCAGGCTGATCTTCATTTGAAAAATTGTCATCATCTTTCTTAGATTTTGAAGCCATATTAGCTGTACCTCGTTCCTTTGCCATTTCGATATAAGCTATATTTTCTTCATTGCTTAGTATTTTAAAAGGTTGATCTTTTCCGACGATTGCAATAGTAATATTCTTAAAAAAAAAAAAAAAAAAATTACATATTTGCATTTAAATAAGTTTAAATAAAAATGTGCTTTACCAAATGGGATGCACCATCATCCTTATTTAATTCATCGTTTGGCAATGAACTTCGAATGGCATGAATGCCATGACAAATTATATCGTCTTTAGAACATCCATTAAATGTTTGAAGGTGGCGTTCCAAATATGTGCGTGCACTTTGTGATCTAGATCCGATAGTCATAGCTTTACAATTGAAAAAATTAGCGGAAGGTTCTACTTTATAAATATGTGGACCCTTTTCGTCATATCCAGCAAGAAGCAAGCCCACTCCATATGGTCGACGGTCATAACGTTGAGTGGTAGTTTGCATTTTGTTACCCAAATTCGTGATCAATCGGGAAACAGGATATGTCGATCCATAAGAATGTTTATAGCTCAAACACTCGGACCTTAAGTATTTACTTAACACGCGCGCATCTGCAGTAATGCCCGCAATTGATATTCCTAAATGATCATCAATTGGGATCAATTTGCGCTGAGAAGCCGACAGCTCTGATGGTGGCTTGCACAGCGCTACCAAAACTGCATAATCATTATTTTTTAAACCAACCGTTGCAGTCCCAAGCTTTACAGCCGCAATGGCGTACTCAACTTGATGTAGACGGCCTTGCGGACTCCACACTGTGACATCACTATCGTATTGATTTCTAAACTGTAATTTAAATTTAAGTTTTATATATTATTGGTATTCTGCATGTCTTACCATTTTTAACCAGATGTGCTGCAACAAATATCTTAATGTGATAAAAGATGACAATTAAAATTTGTTAGTGGTGGAAGTTATTGAAATATAAGTATATCGATATATCAAAACGTGAAATGGAACTTATAAGCATGTGTTCGTTACATATTCGAATCAGCTATTTTTTAGCTAGATCCGGCTATTTTTAAAGGCCGATTACTACAAACATTTTAGAACAGCTATTGGCTATAAACATGTAGTACAAAGTTGTTCAACACCCTCCTAGGGCTCATCAATTTCGTATTTATCGGCTGTTACTTTTAGGTTCGGGCTACGATATTATACGAAAGCACAATCATTCCGCTTCATGCGCTCGACCGAGATGGTCAAACGTTGAATAAAAGATGCCTCTGTGCACAATTTTTGTTCTTGCTCAACCAAAGAACGATCAACCAAATTTAAATGCTAGGGCCTTAAAATTGCTACAGGCAGCCTTCGCACACAGGCATACTAATGGTAGCATGTAGCAAGGCACTGTAGTGTGCGTGTGCACGCTCGTCGCGAAAACTTTTTCATTCGGAGCACCAACGCTTTCATACCCTTCTCACAAAAAATAACGAAAACGCAAATATTTTACGAGGTTGGCGAACGGTTTGAAGAGTTCAGTATACTCTTCACAAAGAAGGGAAGAAACGGCAGTCTAACGCGAAAAATTTCAATTTTGGTGAGCTGCTGCTTGTGTTCACATGCATACATACATATACATATTTGAGAGAGCAGTGAGCAGAGAGAGCGACCATCGGTCGAGCGTATCAAGCAGAATGATTGTGCTTTCATATATTTTCGTACCCGAACCTAAAAATGATATAATAATTTTTTTGTTGGTATTTGTTAAGAATGTTTCGGAATATGCCTGATTTGGCTTAAGATGTGATTTTGGCTATTTGGGAGCCGTCTGTGTATATGGCTTGGTACTTTTTGCTTTCGTCAAGGATTTTGTTAAATAATTTTTTGTATATTTATTTATTTATTTCTTAAGCATAAACGAGAGTCAAATTAAATTTAAAAAAAAAAAACCTAAACAAAGTACAGGATATAATATCAATAGTAACACCGACA